TGCTGGGGAAAGTGGAAGGAAAAGGAAGAGGGGCTGACCAAGGTAAAGATGGATGGATGGCATTCTTGAAGTGACTGGATTGACCTTGAAGGAGCTGGGGGTGGTGATGGCTGACTGGGAGCTTTGGCGGGGGCTGGTCCATGAGGTCACGCAGAGTCAGAAACGACTGAACGAATGAACAACAACAAAACCTTGTAATTCCTGCAAAACAATTGTGTGTGTGTGTGTGTATGTGTTGGGGGGCGGGGTATTAAAGCAAGGATAATGGGGAAAATATAATCTATATAAATAAAAATGTAATATTCGTTTGTGGGATTAACAAAACTCAAAAACCACTGGACAAATTGACACCAAATTTGGACACAACGCACCTATCAGGCCAACAAGTGACCATCACTCATTAAAACACTGGAAAACACAGCGGAAGAGGCTTAAAAAGGAAAAAATAAAACCAAAAAGACACTAGAGCGCATGCGCAAAACGACTCTCTCGGCAAACAAAACACACAATAGCATATCCACACTACAGTTCCCAAAATCCCCTAGACCAGGTCCTTTAGGAGAGGAGGATGATCCAAATGCACTGCTTCCAAGCTGCAAGCTTTCTTCTCCTTGGATTTCACAGTCCCTACGTATTTCCCATTTCTTATTCCTGGACTTATTGCTCAATAAGCTTGGACTTATTCCTGGACTTATTGCTTGATCAATCAGGAGGACTGCTGGGTGTTGCAGTCTAAGAATAGGTAGAGAAGAAAGAACAGGGAGAAAGAGGAAGGGAAAGAAAAGGGGGGAGGAAGGGAAGAGGAAGAGAGGGAAGGAAGGAAGGGGAGAAAGAAGGAAGGAGAGAAAGAGGGAGGGAAGGTTGGCCATGGCAATGTGTGTTGGGTACAGCTAGTTAAATATAAGAGTATTAAAATACATAGAACTAATAAAATCATCCAAAAACCTATTAAACTACATAAAAAATAGCACTATCATCTTGACTGTAAAAACTTTCTTCTTTAAAAGCCTGCCTGAGAGATATCTTTGCTACTGCAATGTTTTTCTCCACTTTGGAAGCATTGCCTCTGAGAGCCAGTTTTCAAAATGACAGTTGCAGCTTACCAGGAGACATATCATTGCTTATCTTTCCTTATTTTCGCCTTGTTATTTATTCTTACTAACATCCTTGACTTTTAAGTTTGTCAGAGAAGGGCAAGCATGACCGATCGGTTAGGCAGTATAGGAAGAACTGTCAGAGAAGAGGCTCAACGGTTCAACTGAAAAAGAATCTTGGATCTTGCTGTTCCAGTTGAAACATGGAGAGTTAAAGTCAATTGTAGCATATTGTTCCTCTTGGCCATCCCGAGAATAAAAAGGTTTTATTTAGCATGCCACTGTAAAGACAGCAGGGAGAGGCCCATTCTAGCTTGAGGGGCAGCCACCAAGGGTCCAGAGTTGAGGGGCAGCCACCAAGAAAGAAGGCCCACTCTCTTGTTCTCACCAACTGAGCTTGTGATGGAGGTGAGACTTAAAAAAGGGCCTCTCATGAAGATCTCAGGGCCTGGGCAAGTTCGTACAAGGGGATGCGGTCAGCCAAATAGCCTGGAGCTGAGCTATATCGTTGTTGTTGTTGTTGTTGTTGTTATTAACTTTATTTGTATCCCACTAACATCTCCCGAAGGACTCGATGCGGCTTACAAAGGCCAAGGCCTCGATAAAACAACAATATAAGAATACACATAAACCATAAAGCAAATCAAAACATTAGAGCAATAACAGTAAACAGTAAAAACAGTACACCATAGCACAACAAAATTAAGGACGGGCCAAGTGTAATGGGTACAGATTAAAAAGTGCTGAGTATGACAAAAGAAATATAAGGATTTTTGGGTAAGTGCAGTGTGCGGACAATCTTAAATCTTTAATAAAGTGCTTCTGGGACGTATTGCTGGAGTTTCCTATTCTGGAAAGGCACACCGGAATTGCCAGGTCTTCAAGCTCTTCCTAAAGACTGCCAACGTAGGGGCTTGTCTGATGTCCTTGGGGAGGGTGTTCCAGAGTCGGGGGGCTACCACAGAGAAGGCCCTGTCCCTCATCCCCACCAACCCCGCTTGCGACGCAGGTGGAATCGTGAGCAGGGTCTCTCCAGATGAACGAAAGGAGCGTGCGGGTTCATAAACGGAGATGCGGTCACGCAGGTAGGCAGGTCCCAAACCGTTTAGGGCTTTGTAGGTGAGCACCTGAACCTTGAATTGGGACCAGAAAATGAACGGCAGCCAATGGAGCTCCTTGAACAGGAGGACTGACCTCTCTCTGTAAGGAGCGCCAGTTAACATCCTGGCTGCCGCCCGCTGGACTAGTTGGAATTTCCGAGCCGTTTTCAAGGGCAGACCCACGTAGAGCGCATTACAGTAGTCCAATCTATAGGTGACCAAGGCATGGACCACCCCGGCCAGATCAGCCTTGTTGTTGTTGTTGTTGTTGTTGTTATTATTATTATTCACTGCTTTCTCTCTCTACAAAAGAGACTCAAAGTGGCTATATAGGGCTTTAAAGGTCCTAACCAGCACTCAGAATTGTCTTTGGAAACAGACTGGCAGTCAGTGGAACTGTTGCAACAGGGGGGTTGTCTGCTCCCTGCAGCCAGTCCCAGTTAGCCATCTAGTCACAGCTCTTTGGACCAGCCAATCAAACACAAACAACATTTTCTACTATAATTTGAAATGGTAGTCTGTTTGCTGCACTACAAAAAAAATCACATGGTTTGCTACAGAATTACCAAACATTGTGGGATCAATCAGATGAGCAAAGTAAAGTTTAGGATCCAATCACCCAGTTATTTTAGAGATCCTGCTGATATACATTTTGTGGTTGTTATAGCCAGACACGTCTCAAACGTACATTTTTGTGGTGGCTATAACCAATGGCACACCACTTAAGACTGGTGTGCCAAATGTGTTCAGTCCTGGCCATTGTGATATGTGTTTATTATGTTACAGGAATGCAGATGTTTGATCACAAACACCGAAACTCTGTGATAGTGATGAACCCTACTGTCAGAGTAAAGTTTTGAAACTGGCCCAGTCAAACATAGTCTATCAAAAAACAAAACAAAAACAAAAAGAAAAAAAACTTGGGAGACCATCAGGGAAAGCCCATACACAGACAACATTCAAACATCTGAATTAAAAATATAATTGCTCTCATCTGTAAAACACAACCCCTGCTGCCACCTAGTGTTTGCTAACACAATTTTCCCACAATAGAATTTGTGAAAATAATTCAATATGACATTTAGTAGGGTGTTGTCCGGTATCTAACTTTCAAGATGCTTTTCAGCCCTAGAAAGTTGTGTGTGATGTTTATGCAGAACTATATGTATGAGGGAGAAACCACAAAGGTTTGTGTATGTGTTTTAAACAATCCTGGACTGCAATAATGACATCCAAGGACTCCATAAAACCTCAAAGGGCAATGTAATCATAAAACTATTTTTTTAAAAAACAAAGAAAATTGGACCAGTAAACAAAATCATTTCAGTCAGCATGGGCCTTCTGAATTTTTTATCAAAGATAACCCAAATGCAACTGGATTTTTATCCAGTGATCACTAAATCATGATGTAGCTTACTATAAAATAATGTATTAGAGAAATGTAATAAGGCACGATTGGTGGGGACGAGAGAGAGGGCCTTTTCGGTGGTGGCCCCTCGACTCTGGAACTCACTCCCTAAGGACATCAGGCAGGCCCCAACTGTGGCAGTCTTTAGGAGGAGTTTGAAGACGTGGTTGTTCCAGTGTGCCTTCCCAGAATAATGTTCCCATAGCACTTTGTCCTCCAAAGCACTTTACATTTTAGGTCTGCTTGTATGTTTTCCACAAATGCCACTTTCACCTTTTCGCCCATGCCCTGGCGTTACTTCCAATTTTAACTTTACATTTGGCCTACCCACAGTTTTAATTGTGTGTTGTCTTATTGTTAATTGTTGCATTTTTATTGTCCATGTTTTTATTTTGCTTGTATTGTTGTTATTATTGCTTGTATTGCTTGTATTGTTGTATTTGGGCTCGGCCTCATCTCCCTTGGGGAGATGGTAGCGGGGTACAAATAAAGTATTATTATTAGAAATTACAGAATTTCCATCCATGACATAAAATGTAGAGAGAGAAATCTGCCACTGAATTTATTTATAATTCAAAATCTATAAAGAAATAGATGCATTTTATACTGGATATACTTTGTACCAAGCAAAGTCCACATAACTACGTTGTCAATGTTTTAAATACTACAGTACACATATTATAACATCAGTTAACGCTCCAGCCTCATGAGGCTACTCTTGGCCAGTTTATCACATATCTTTTCTGATTTCCAGCCAGCATCACACTACATTCCAATAGCACCCCCTACTAGTCATATGGCTATCTACTTACCTTTTCAGGTAACATCTTTCCTCCAGCCACTGTTAAATTTGGACTTGTCTTCACAATACTCAAAGGTTTTGAATTTCTATTGCTATTCACACACATGGCTTGCTCATTCCTGGCTATAAAGGTATGTTCTTAGGTACTTTTACATCTACTCCAGGCATCTGATGAAGGAGATGCAAGTCTAGAAAAGGTTATGTACCAACTTCCTTCTCTCAGTCTCTATGGTTCTACAAGATTCCTTTGCACATTTAAAAAAATATATTTATATTTGGATGGAAAAAGACACCTTTTTGGCAGTTAAGACCACAAACTATTTTTTTAAGTCCCCCAGTTTCAAAACCAGATTGCCATAAGACAGTGGTTCTCAACCTGGGGGTCCCCAGATGTTTTTGGCCTTCAACTCCCAGAAATCCTAACAGCTGGTAAACTGGCTGGGATTTCTGGGAGTTGTAGGCCAAAAACATCTGGGGACCCTAGGTTGAGAACCACTGCCATAAGGGAAGACAGCTGTGGAGTATGAAGAACCATTGCGATATTTAATGAAATAATTGGGATCCAATGACTGTCTATACAACTACCATTTTTTTACCTGTAGAATGTTTTCACTTTATTTGAGGGTAAACACCGATTGCATTGTTTGTAGATCTTATTTTCATCCACCTGAAGTTCACGTCCACATTTTGCGCAGCCCACATAAGTGATCAGAGCAAGTGAGTCGACTATATGCTGTAATGAAGCACTTGCATCAAAAACAACTTCATGTGGAGAGGAAGCAACAGTGAATTTCAGTTCTAAGATATGGGCTTTCACCTGAAACACTCCTATGAAAACAGAAATAAGTTTCTCAGAATATATTTCTCAACTTTTTGCAACAAGAAAACAGTCAAAAAGATGACTGCTAGAAGCAGCATCCTGGCATGTATCACCACAAAATTTAAGAGCAACAGAAAAATCTTATATTATCCACTGAGAAAAAAAGAGGCGCGGACAGTTTAATGCAGCGTTTCTCAACCTTCCTAATGCCACGACCCCATACTACAGATCCTCATGTTGGGGTGACTCCCAACCATAACCTTATTTTCGTTGTTGCTTCATAACTGTAATTTTGCTGCTGTTATGAATTGTAATGCAAATATCCGATATACAGGATGTATTTTCATTCACTGGAACAAATTTGGCACAAATACCCAATACACCCAAATCTGAATACTAGTGGTGTTGATTTTGTCATTTGGGAGTTTTAGTTACTGGGATTTATAGTTCACCTACAATCAAAGAGAATTCTGAACTCCACCAATGATGGAATTGAACCAAGCTTGGCACACAGAACTCCCATGACCAACAGAAAATCCTGGAAGGGCTTGGTGGACATTGACCTTGAGTTATGGAGTTGTAGTTCACCTACATCCAGAGAGCACTGTGGACTCAAATAATGATGGAATTGAACCAAACTTGGCACACAGAACTCCCATGACCAACAGAAAATATTCAAAGGGTTTGGTGGGCACTGACCTTGAGATTTGGACTTGTAGTTCACCTACATCCAGAGAGCACTGTCAACTCAAACAATGATAGATCTAGACCTAATTTGGCACAAATACTCAATATGCCCAAATGTGAACACTGGTGGCGTTTGGGGAAAATAGACCTTGACAGTTGGGAGTTGTAGTTGCTGGGATTTATAGTTCACCAACAATCAAAGAGCATTCTGAACTCTACCAATGATAGAATTGGGCCAAACTGCCACACAGAACTCCCATTACCAACAGAAAATATTGTGATTTCTGATGGTTTTTGGTGACCCTTCTGACACTCCCTGGTGACCCCCGCAGGGGTCCCAACCCCCAGGTTGAGAACCACTGGTTTAGTGGGTTTGATCTCATTTAAGTAAGAAACCAGCCTTGGTTCTGCTGTTATTCCACAAAGGATAAATGTAAAGGATGTAGGGCAGCAATGAGACACACATGTCCTATAGCTCTATTTAGCAGCAAACAGAGTATATCATTAAAACAAACATTTCCTGCTTGTTTCCCAGCATTTTCACTGAAGTTACTGAAATCTGGCTGAACAACATGCGCTGGAGGAAGGATATGGTTCGCAGACCTGCCACAGTTAGAGTGACTTCATTAGGCCCCTTCCACACAGCTGTAAAAAAACCCACATTGAACTGTGTGGCAGTGTGGACTCAGATAACCCAGTTCAAAACAGATATTGTGGATTATCTGTCTCGATATTCTGGGTTTTCTAACTGTGGGATCTCCCCACAGCTGTGAGATTCCAAATAGTCTATGTTCTTTCTCAAAGAGATTTTAATGAATATGTTTTCTATCATTCTACCTCAAAGATAAGGAAGTGGTGATTTCCATTAGATTTTTTTGTGTCTCACGACCATGATCGTCTTCAAGCTTTTTGGAAAGGAAAGTATTTGAACTAAAACAAATAATCCACATCAATATTAAGTAAAAACCTCACCAGAACACTTCTCCTCTAGGTGTGTAGCGAGAGTTGTGACACACATGAATAGTTTGAGGTCCTTTTCAAACTTTTCTTTGAATTTCACAGCTCTTTGGTCATCATCAAAGAGGCACTCTAGGGTTGACCAGGGTGTTGTGTGCAATTCCAGTTCACCAGAGACAGGATTGTGTTTAGTAAACAGATATTTAAATTCCCAGATATGATCTAAGAAAAAGAAGAAATACACAGTTATTTCCAGAATCACTCTAAATGTGTAGAGGTTGGGAACTGAATTGTGTCTAGGACAACTCTCTCATGCATCCCACCCACAGCAAGCCCAAATAATTCAAAAGTCATTCCTGTTAACATTTTGACTGTGACTACAGAAGTAAAAGGAGGCATTTGGGGGTAACAGGAGGTTTGGGTGGATGGCTGTACTTTCAAATGTTTTCATTGTGTGTGTGTGTGAGGGGGGGGGGCTGTATGGATTGGGAGCCAAAGTTACCCCATAATCTTGAAGGAACTCTTCTGGAGTTTCAAGAGCCCCAGAAAAATGGTTCACTGATTGTGCATTAATAGGCAATAACTTCTGGAACCTGAATTCCTAAGTTGATTTTCCCATGGATTATTATACCTCAAACTTTCAATAAAAATAAAATAATTATTAGTGTTGTGATAAAACACGCTCTGGTCACATCCCGCCTTGACTACTGCAACGCTCTCTACGTGGGGCTGCCCTTGAAGACAGCCCGGAAGCTCCAGCTAGTCCAGCGCGCGGCAGCCATGTTACTAACAGGAGCGGGACGCAGGGAGCACACAACGCCCTTGTTGTACCAGCTCCACTGGCTGCCGATTTGCTACCAGGCCCAATTCAAGGTGCTGGTGTTATCCTACAAAGCCCTAAACGGTTCCGGCCCAAAATACCTTTCTGACCGCATCTCGGCCTATGAGCCCACGAGGACTTTGAGATCGTCTGGGGAGGCCCTTCTCTCGATCCCGCCTGCCTCACAGGCACGCCTGGCGGGGACGAGGGATAGGGCCTTCTCGGTGGTGGCCCCCCGGCTGTGGAACACCCTCCCTGTGGACATCAGACTGGCGCCCTCCCTTATGACATTCCGCAAGAGACTAAAGACGTAGTTGTTTGAGAAGGCGTTTGAGTAAGTGCTGCAACAATTGGCAATGACGATTGGAACGGAACATGGATAACGAGATTGGATTGTGATTCAATGATGAGACGTCGCGAATGATTTAGTGTAATTGTATTATTGATAGTGATGTTGTTTATTGTTGTTGTGATATTGCTTATGTTGTAAATTGTACCTGGTTTTATATGTTGTACACCGCCGTGAGTCGCCCTAGGGCTGAGAACGGCGGTCTACAAGTGCAGTAAATAAATAAATAAAAGTTAACTTGTTTATATTAAGAAATATGGTGCTGTATCTCCTGAAGCTCACTCTTTGAACATAATATAAGCTGGTTTACATATACAGGCAGTCCCCAAGTTACGAAAAAGATAGGTTCTATAGGTTTGTTCTTAACAAAAGGATTGGTGATAAAGCTTCAGTGGAGACATCTTTTCCCCATGGCAACTCTTTCAGGAGTGAATTTCCCTTCCTGGGGATAGGTTTCTCTCACTTCCTGTTGTCCCCGTTCTTAACTATCAGGTCATTCCATGCCAAGTGATCTAATTTTTTTAAAAAATTCCTACCATCATGTCTCCAATTTTGTTCAAATTTTAGCTGTAGCACCAGGACTGTGGTGCAGCTGGATGGGAGTCAGCTGCATTAAGATCACTACTGATCGAAAGGTCATGAGTTCAAAGCCAGCCCGGGTCGGAGTGAGTTCCCAACCAAAATTGTATAGCTTGTTGTCGACCTTTGCAGCCCGAAAGACAGTTGCATCTGTCAAGTACGAAAATTAGGTACCACTTTGTCTGGTTGATACTGACACGATGAATAAAATAAATAACTTTGTGGGGAGGCTAATTTAACTGATTTAACTGAGGCCATAAAAATCAACAGGAAGTATGCAAAGAATGAGGAAGCAACAGCTCCCCTGGTGGCCAGGAGCTGGAATGTTAAATAGCCTCTGAGTGTCTGTCTATATATGTTGTGTGTCTATGGCACTGAATGTTTGCCATATATATGTACATTGTAATCCGTCCTGAGTCCCCTGCGGTGTGAGAAGGGCAGAATATAAATGCTATAACTAAATAAATAAATATTAAACTAAGTTTCCCAAAATTTGAGGTCTCCATCTGAAATAGTTGCTGTTCTAGACCCCCTTATTTGAAGGGTAGTCAGGGTCTTGTAAATAATGATTTCAGGGAAACTATAATGCCGATCAGATTATGTCACTGATGGAGCTGGAATAACAGCAAAAAATTGTTCTGGAATCCAAAAGTATCATGTCCTAGCAGCCAGTCAAATGAACTAGCAGGACCATGAGGATGCACAAATGCAAAAATATACCATATTTTGACCTGAGTAAATGGACACTTAATGGTTGAATTGCAAAACAAGAACATATCAGTCTTATAGAGCAAAATTTTTCCTTTCAGATTATACTATTCACAAGCATATTCAGGTATACTCTTTTTTAATAATTGGCTTTGAAATTTGGTAGATTTTACCATTTGCACTGACAGTGTCAAATTTGAAGAGTTCCTACAGGGCGGTAAAAGATGCTGGATAGTTGCAAATCTGGCAGTATTATGTTCAGCACAAGCATAATGCTTGGTCAAAATTTCAAGTCCATATCATCGTTTGCATGGAAATTGTTGCAGTCATGACACATTTTGATGCAAATTTTGAGTCAACTTGTTTGATTGGATTTTGCATCCATAATGTTAAAATCAATGTCATTGGAATCAGCAGAAAAAACTGTGCAGGATTTCAATTTACTAATCATTCTTATACATTTAATTTCAATTTTAGAGTCCAAAAATGGCATTTTGTTAAATGTTGTGTACACGCAGACAAATGACCTTCAGAAAAGGGGAGGTCTAGATCAGCAACTATTTCAGCTAGAGACCCCAAATGTTGGGAAACTTAGATTAACATCTGACTGGTGCTACAGATAAAACTTGAACAAAATAGGAGAACATGATGGTGGGAAGATTTAGACTACTTGGCATGGAATGACCCTATCAGTCGTTTGTAAGTCAGATGTTTGTAACTTGGGGACTGCTTGTACTTTGATTTCCCACACAAGTGACCATCACATGTCCAGCTGTTTTCCTAGGCATTGTATCCTGAATGGCTATCACGTGCTACTCTCTTGGGAATCAGCTGTCATGACCTGTAGCCCTGGCTTGCAGAAAGTGAACTCTGGATCCTGGCTGTCCTGAAATAATCAAACATTTGGATTTGTCCAACAGAGATGGCTATTTGGACAGTTGAGAACACAAGTCTTATCTAAAATTCTAGACACTGTCTTTCAATGATTAAACCTGGTGTCAGAAATGTTGGTCACAAAGCAACCAATATAAAATATGTTTCAAAATTTATGGCAAATAAAGAGGTGACAACACAAAGATTTTTGGGGAGCTAATTAAAAAAAACAGCTGTAAAGAACTAATATTAACATATTCGAATCTGTTTACCAGATTTTCAACAAAAGGTAGAAATTAAATTGTTTTCCAATAGACTCTCGGCTACCCATGGGTTTATTTATTTATTTACAGCTTTTATATTATTTAAAAATACAATTAAATAATGCTATATCCATACCATCAGGCATGTAGCCGGGGGGGGGGGGGGCTTCAGCCCCCCCCCCCCAAATTCTCATGGTGGTCCGCGAGAAGGCCTTACTGGTACATTATTTAAACTGTTATGTTTATTCATATCACGATCTGATCACCATGCTCAATATATCCCATATGCATGGGGGTATTGGGGTAACGATACAAAAGGTTTGCTAGGGTAGACCCTCTTTCACTCAGACTCAGCCCACCCCCCACCCCCAAATCAAACCCAGCTACCCTTGAATCAAAATCCCGGCTACGGGCCTGCTGGAGACCCCTCCCCCCAGCACCAGCTGCCGCTCTGGGCCAGAGTGAAGAGAGAGGGGGCCAGGGGACAGTCCCATCTTGTCTCCTGCATATGTCATCAGTTGGGAACCCCTCCCCCCAGCACCAACTGCCACTCTGGCCAGAGGAAGAGAGAGGGGGGGGGGGCAGGGGACAGTCCCATCTTGTCTCCTGTGCTATGCTAATAATATAATGTAATATAATATACTGTATATACATATAATATTTATAATATTATAATGTAATGCAATATAATACTAATAATTATATATTTATTACATGTAATATTACTAATAATATTACAATATAATGGTATAGTACAGGGGTCCTCAAACTTTTTAAACAGAGGGCCAGGTCACAGTCCCTCAAACTGTTGGAGGGCTGGATTATAAATTGAAAAAAAACATGAATGAATTCCCTTGCACACTGCACATATCTTATTTCTAGTGCAAAAACCACTTAAAAACAATACAATACTTGAAATGAAGTAAAAAAATAAACAGTACAAAATAACGTAATGGAAAATAAAAAACAGTGGGCGAGCTAAATGCACGACATAAAATGATAAAACACTGGATGTGATAGTGATGAAAAGGTACATAAGAAGACAGAAAAGGATAAAATGATAGGTATTCCAAATATATTTCCCCCTTTCTGCTGTCAAATAGCAACAGATTGCTTTAGCATGTAATTTAAACATATTACATAGATTAGTCCCCTTTTTACCTCTTTTCCTTTGAAGTTGAGGATAGAGGGCTGTTAAAGCCCCCCATAACACCAAGGTGTAGTTCTGATTCTTGACTTGTTCCACTGTTATAACAATTTTTCTTTGTGTTTCTCCCTTGAAACTGTATGTTGATTCTGAAGTTAGGAAAGTACAAACATACATATGTTTAACATTATACTTTTTGGAAAAACAGGAATGACAGAGGACACTGAAATTAACCTTAAAATTAATTAACATAAAATTTAGATATATAAATCACATGAAATAGAGAGAAAACAATTCTATTATATAATTGTCACATATAGCCTGGTGTATGTGGGTATAAAGCATCATTTGATGGTAGGACTTTCAGAAACAGTTATGAACAATGGTGAGGAAATCAACATTTCCTGCGTATCTTTTTCCTGGCTTTTCATAACAGAGCTTTTTGCTAGATCACAAACTCTTTGATAATCCCCTTGATTTAAAAATTGGGTTAAAGGGTTACTATGTGATATGTGAATGCTTGTTTTTTTTCTTCAAATATTAAAGAAAACAATAGCAAAGAAAAGAGGGTAAGAGGTTTTTCATAAAGGAAGCATCAGGTGGTGCTATAAATCAATTTATGGCTTTCTTATCTGTACAAGATTTCAGGCACGGCTTTCAAGTAATCCATCTTTTTTCCTTCAGAGCAATCTAGAAAGGATGTCTGCACAATTATATGCAAACAGGAAGATGTCCCAGAACAGACTCCGGATTCAAAGCGCTTAGGTGGTGGTTTTATCAGACAGAAGAGATTAAAGAGAGGCATTACCTTAAGTTTTGAAAATCCTTAACTGTTAGAACTTTTTCACTCCTTTTGACCTCAGAAGACATATATGGGAACGGAGTGATTCAAAAGTCAACTGACCTGTTAGGACTGTGAGGTCAACAATTTTCAGGACAGAATGCACCAATATATCTGGTCTGAGTTGATGAAGTAGAACATGTTGAATATTGTTCAGAGTCTGTCTCTTTCTTTGGGGGAGACTTTCCAGATAGGCATATTTTGAAG